TAGCTGTGCCTGGGGTTGTGCCGACCCAGTTCCTTTCCAACCCCCAAACCATTCTGTGATTCTATAGGTCTGTCTTGTGTTTTCAGAAAGTTATCACTGCAAGTTTGTGTTGCCTGACAGCAACCGTATGTTTATTATTTTCTCAGTTGTACTTTGGGGCAGTGCTGACATGGAAAAAAAAAATAAAGGCACCTTTTTGTGTGTGTGTGTGTGCAGGTGAAGTTCTTTGATTGTGTTTTGATGAGAAAGCAGAAAATCTAGAATGAAGACTGATTGAGGAAAACCTCAAAATCCAGATACATCTTGCTGTTTATCTGTGACATAGTACTAAGTTTGTAACTAGTGGCGTAATTTAGGATATCTTGGCAATTCTGCAGGTGGGATGCAAAGTTATATCTTGCCACTGTAGTGCAACAGTTGAAAACATAACTTAAACATACACTTAAAACAATAGGCATATATTAAATGTGTTTTTTCCTGTGAATTTTCATAGATGATGTGTCAGTTGATCTCTCAGGATGTTTGGCATGATGCAGGATTTCTTACTGTTGTGAAGCAATAGCATACTAGGGCTACCAGACGACCTGCTGATGGCATGGATTCTTTCCTTGCTAGCCTTTCTTAAAGCCCTAGTTTGTGGGCTTATCAGACTTTGCCAGAATTAAAATGGAACAAGGCCAAAACCAAATTTTTTTTTAATAGCTCTAATGAAGCAGATCTAGAATGTTTTGTCCAAAGTCAAAATGTGCATTACTTGTATTGGAGGGGTGAACAGCTGATTTTGGCAGTTGCCATTGGATCGATGCTTCCTGTTTACAGAAGTCTCTGAGTTCTCCGAAGAGCCCTGGGAATCCCTCCAGCTAGGGAATGCCTGGCTTAACCAGTGAGTGCTGTTTAAACAGCAGGTGATGAGCAAACTCATGGCAGATGTGCTTCGCTCATCTTCTCTCAGAGCCAGCTTGCTATGGATAACGTACAACTGATGGTTGAATTGGAGGTGAGAGAAATGATATCTGGATTTTTTTTGTAGATCCATTGGGCTTGGTATCTTTAGTCAAAGAGCACTGAAGGCTTGGTACACAGTCAAAGAATGGTGTTCTGTAGACACAAATACCTTCCAAACGGAAGAACAAAGGGTTTTGTAACTCATCATTCCTTTCAAATGTGGCCAAGTTTGTGGAATGTAGACTTAGAGTAAATGTTTGTGTCATCTCATTGGTGGGAAATCTGGGCTTTTAACAATGGCAGTCTTATGAATTGTACTTTAAAGCTTCTTGTAAACTATTAGAAATTAATGAGCTGAAAGGCATAGTTGGAATCTGATATTTGTTCTTTCCTTAGCGGGAATATGTTTGTCTCTTCCTGTATTTTTAGGTTGTGCTTCAGTTCACATATGAGCAGTGTCTGCAGAAGGATAATGCTGACACATTCTCTTTTAGGAATTTTGTGTCAGATACCTCTCCTGGGAGCAGGGGTTTGGACAATTAGGAGTAAGGATATGAATTTCCCTATTTCAAATTATGTTTGTTGAGGGGAGAAAAATCCTCATACTTAAACAGTTATAAGACTGCTAGTTACTGTCATTGCACAGTATTATTGTTGCTTTGTATGTTGGTGCTCTATAGTTTTGGTACTCTAAACTTTGTACTATCATTTGTGGTTTTGTAACAAATGAAGCATGCTGTGAAAGCATTATTGCGTCTTCTCTATGACAGAGGAAAAGCTTTGAGAAGAGCAGGGAGTGATCCTGAAGCTTCATATAACCTATTTTATCCACTGCGAGTTTGTGATGTCACAAGTTTATATCTGATGGTGGACAAAGATGAATAGGCAGCCTCTTCGTTATCTGTGCAATAAAACCAGCTGAAAAAGTAACACAACGTTGCGATGTAACATCAGCGCTTGTCTGCGTTCTGTCTGTGCTTCTCCTTGTCAAAAGCATTGGGATTTTGTTGGACAGTGGTACCCTCTTTTAGCTAATTTCTTAAAATCTTACCTGTAAAGTTTGACAGTACAGGTGCTTTTCCTTGCAGCTTCTTTGAAAATTCTAACCAGATGTTTTAACTTACTTAGCGTGAAATACAAAGATCTCTGGTTTCAGACAGTGTGCGCTTAAACATTTAACAAATAATGGGGCATGAAATTAAAAGCAGGCTTCATTTAGTGCTTATATATTCCTCTCATATTCGTTGAAATTGTTAGCTTGAAGTTTAATGGAATACATAGCAGAAGCAGAGTGGCAAACAGCTTCACTTTAAACATGGTCTGTACACAAGCTGACTAAGTCCAGTGGTGCAGGTGATCTATAGATTATTGATCTGAAAAAGTCTGAATTTCACTCACATCACAGCACAAGAAGGTTTAGAGCTGTTTAGCTGCACTCCTTTATAACTGGGTGATGCTGAAGCACTTAACTGGTTACACCACACCACAGTCAAGTGTTTAGACCAAAGTTCTGAAGACTTTGAAAGCTAATGCAAACAATGAAGCTGGTAATAGCTTCTCTACTATGGCGGAGTATGAATGTAAAACATCCAATGAACAGCTGGCTGGTCCTTCAGCTGGGTAAGTGTAAATAAAACACTTCTTATACAGCTTAGTCTGTGCTAGAATGAATCTGTCCAGTAGCTACAAAAGGGAAAAAAGTATAGGATCAGAAATTAACAACTTGTATCAATCACGTCTCTGGAGGAAGATCACATGCTCTGGAGGAAGGAATCTTCAGTGTGAGGAAGTTTAATTTACCAGAGGCATAGATGAGAAAACACTTCAATTGTAGCTGTAGTTCCTCAGAACAAGACTGAATATTGAGACCATTATTTTTCTTAATGCTGTCTATACTGTTAAAAGATGTCTGTTCTGTTCACGGTCTGAGGCTGAACCTGGGTCCTAGTGTTCACTTATGGTTGCTTTTGCAGAACTAATGGGATTAGTGAATGTGGAGTTGCTCTGAAGACCCGTTTGCTTATTTTTTAAGACACCATTTGTGCAAATTAGTAACATACAAAATATGTAAATAAAAACTTGATAATGCTTTCTTATGCCAGATAGCTGTAATAGAGCAGTGGAGCTTCAAAGAAGGGAAATGTGTTTTGTAAAGTATAATTTCGTGACTGGGGGAGGTGAGGATTAAACCAAGACTATTGAAAGATGTTTTTTGTTTGTTTTTTCCTACCCTTTCTCTCTGGTGTGGCCAGCCAGCGCTACGTTATTAGTTAATGCTGTAGTTGAAGTTTTGCTTTGGATTCTTCATGACAAATTCTTCGGTGCTATGCCGGTGTAACTGGGAAGGAACAATGAGTTCCATGAGACTTCAAAATGGTATGAAAAGCCCCAAGTTTTTGTAGTTTTTGTCATTAGCAAACTATTAGATCAAATATTTGTCTGGCAATTCTATTTTATTGCACTAGAAAAAAATTATTTTGGGCTAGTAGGCATATTTTAGTCTATTTTAACTGAAGTTTTAAGTGTACAGCAAGATCTATCATTCTTAAGAGTAGAGAGAGGAAGGAATTGGAAGCCAGATTGCTTTCTCCTTCTGATGAGAAAGCATTATGACTTTAATATAAGTGACAGTATTTCACTTGCACGTTTTCCTGTTTAAATGCTAATTAAATACAGTGTATATGAAAAAATGCTGTTACCTACATGGTTATTTTTACAGAAGACTGCATTATAATTTCTCTTTCTCAATAGCTTGGCTGTAACAAAATGATTTTTAGAACTAAATTAATGAAATGTGTTCCTAGCCTTTGAATTCAGTGTTTTGAGAACACTCAAATTAATTCCTGTGTACAGTGATGGATTCTCTGTAGAAATAAAGTATAATACTGCTTTTGTACCATTATTTTTGCAGATCTAGTGGTGGATGCATAGTGTTCAGCTGTCCAGAATATTGCTTAACATAGACTCATTTGTGCTGCATTGCTGTGTTAAAATACACTCTTCAGCATAATCACAATCCTCTGTAATAAGTTTGTATATCCAGAAATACCTTCTTTTAAAAAAAAATTAATCCCTCATCTAACTTTATTTAATTGTTTTATTTGGAAAATAAAATACATTCTCTCTTTTAAAGAATTTGCTGTTCAGTGTGTATTTAATTTGGCTTACAGTCTGATTTTTGAGAGGAGAAACAGTCTGAATGTACTGTAATGTAGAATACTGTAATAGGCAACTGGTTTTTACTGCCCCTCTTCAGAGGCTGATTTCCCCACAACTCAGCCAGAGCAGAGAACTGGAGGCATGTACTATATTCTTGCTGATTTTGCACTGAAATGGTTTACCTGAAGTTGGTGGTGAAAGCCACCAATGGGAATAGATGAGGGTGTAGTCACACAATTCACTTCTGGTTACTCTGTGGATGGCAACCTTCAGAAGAAGTGAGGAAACAGGTGGCCCATGGAAGTGGTGCGTGGAGGAGATCGTGAACCGTTGCAGGGGTTTTGCCAGTGTCTTTGTGTTTGTGTCTATTTGCTGCATGTCTTTGGAGGTAAAAAAAAAATCAAAGAATTCTGATGAAAATATAATGTTATATTTTTTGCTGCAGATTCTTTACATGGAGAGAAATATATTGCCAAGTCTCCTCATAAAGTTAACAAGAGAGAACCTAGCATGTGCAAGTTATTCAGATAATTGAAAATCTGATCAGTGATGATGGCACATAGTTGACACAAATACTGGGAAAGTGAAGAAGTATGTGATTGGTTTATTTACATGCTTTTCTTTCATCTACTCTTTCCTGAGTGTGGGAGAAAAAAAACACATGAAAAGAAAAAGTAATTAACTCAATGTGAGCGTTTCTAAAACAAGACTTAGTGGCATCAAGTCTATAAGCAGTAGTGGCTGGCTGTTCTTAAGTGAACATACAGTCTTAGTATTTTAGGATGGCCTTAAGTATGCTATCTGCTTTAATCTGGTTGCTGGCAGTGTTATACTGAAGTAGAACATTTTTAACAATTCTAATTATACAGATTATTAGTATTTTTCATTAGAACCTTGAAAGAAGCTTTCACAGGCCTTGAAAGAGGATAAATGTTGCTTGTTAAAAAACAAACCAAAACTACTTCTGTCTGCAGTGACTTTTCACCACATCATGGCTTACAGCCTGAATAATTAATGCAGCTGAGTATAAGATTAGGTCTGCAGGCCAAGTTCAGATGAAGACATTGTCTTTGAAATACCTGAGTTTCTGAAGTAAAGATTAAAGGATGCGTTTCCCCCATGAAGAAAACCGCTTCTTTTTTTTCATTCATTTACTTGCAGAAATGATATCACATACTTAGCCAGCACTTGGTTAATGCAGTGAAAGTATGAGACATACTTAGCATCTTGCAGTAAAGGATTTTGATTTGGATGGTAAAGCTCTTTGCAACTTCCCAAGCCTTGCTTTTCGATTTTGACCAAACATATTTTCCTGGTGTATTATCTATTATGTTATGATTGGCTGAATTCATGGTTCACAGGGATTTGGCCACAGTCAGTGAGTAACAGAGTAGGTGTAATTGGTACCTACCTGGTAGTAGTTCTTGTACAAAGCAAGTGGTGCTTTAAAGATATTATCTGTTTCTATTAGATCAAGTAAGATATTACTGTTTATTGAGCATACCACACATTTTCCTGCAATGTGGGCTTCTGTTTTAATGACCACCGTGTATCACTTCTAAATGTGGCTGCTCTTATGTCAAGAGAAACCATGGTAAAGCTTTTATTTTTTCCTTACAATAAAGCTTCAAGTTGGTTCTTATTGTGTTGTTATTTGCATTCAAGAAGTAATTTAGTCATACAAACAGCTGTTGGCAAGTTGAAAGAGGCTGATCTGCTCTAAAGTTCTTGTGAACAGCCAGTCTTTTACAGTGTCCATATACTCAACATGATGCACTAATTTATTTCAAAGAAGATCATTGAAAAGAAGTACATGAAATGCCTGTTGCAATGGTACATTCAGCTTTAAATCTGAGTGTATTGCAGATGTGTGACTAGAGTCTCCTTGGGCTGGAGTGCAAGAACTTGGTTAGTTTTGTGGCTGAAGACATTTTAAATTGTATAAAAATCATACCATTGTTTCTACATTTAAAACTATAGGACCCTCATTTCAAATTACAAACCAGAAAAAAGAATACTTAGACTTGATTCAGCTAACTTGAAATCTTTTCCAGCTTCTGATAGAAGACATTTTATATCATATGTCTTAAATTAACAACAGAAAAGCCACTGTAAAAAGGAGGATGTGTTTTGGCTTTTCTGCTAATATTCATAAAACAGCAAGGAAGATGGTCTGTAGCAGTTTGGTGATGTCTCTGTACAAAGTGCTTTAAATTGAGAAAAATGAATAAACTGTAAAAGTGACCCAAAGTTTCTTGATTATTTTCATATGTGGCCATCATTATATTAATTATAATACAGAAAGAACAAAATGAGTCATGATTTTTTCCAGCTTGACACTCCATTTTTATATTGTTATACCTTCATCAATCCCCGAACAAATGGTTTTGCACTCACAAATGTAATTTTCAGTATGTTTATTTTATTCTGTGTAGATCTTTTCCTTTTTGTGATTACTAGTAGATCAGTAGATGTCTGTTTAGAAAGTTACTCATTAGAAACTCTAATAAAAATAAAACGTGCTTTCATCAAAGCACTGGTTGACCTGACAGTCTTTTTAACCTTTGGTGACAAGATTAAAGAGGAAAGACAAGAAAGTCAATTAAAAAAAACCCAAAAAACCCAAACAAGACACTGTTCCTATTGCAAATAATTCTCCCCAACCATTTTTACCTAGGTTCACCTTTTCTAGCCAATGAAGATGGTGTACTTGGAGGTGTGATAGTTCTTCGGTCGTGCAGGTGTTCAGCAGAGCCTGAATCGTCACAGGAAAAGCCAACTTTACTAGGTAAGAAATTCTTACTCATTTTTAACTTGAGCTAGGTGCTAACCCAAAGTGAAAGATGAAATAAAAACTGTCTGTGCATGTTTATCATTGTTCAAAAGCCACAGAGAAAACAAAAACAATTGAAATTGCTTGAGATAACCAAACTAGAAAGTGAAATAGTACTTGCTTTGATTGTTCTCTAAAACTGTGGAAAAGAGCATTCTTTCTGACTCATTATTTCTAAGCAGAATTGTGATTCAGAGGGCTGTGTGGGATCCTTCTAAAACCATGGCAGAGAAATAATGTCTGCCTGTGGCAAGGCAGGGTATGTTTCTTGGAGAAAAACCATTGCATTTTTACTTGGGGGCAATGCATATGATTGTTTACTGCTTCTCAGTGGTTTATATGCTAAACACGCTATCTAAAAAGTTCTTTGTTCCTCCTTTTTGCAGGACAAAATGTGAAAATTTGGAGGATGCACTTAAAATGTGGAGGGGAAGTTGTTGTGTGGTTAGAAATTCTTTGTTACGCCCAGAAAAATCTGTCAAATTAAGGCATAGTCCCTATTTGCATATGCAGACAACAGGAATACTTGCTGTTTATATTGAGATCAGCAGAAAACTACTTCACCTCCATCAGTAGCTGACTGGGTAAAAGGGCTCGGAGCTTTGCAGCTCTTCAGCCCTGTTTATGTCCTAGAAATAATATCCTCATCTGGCTTGCTGCTTTACAGCAGAGCAAGTGTATTATAGAAAACCATCATGTGGTTTATCTTAGAGAAGCAGCTAGGAGACTGAAGGCTGTAGACCACTGGCAGAGGTGGGTGGAAATACAACCCAGAGACAGTAAGGCCCATGTTCCTCTTTGAAGGCAGGGATTTGGGGCTAGGGACATGCAAATTACTTCAGCATGACACTTGTACCATCTCCTTTTGTGTGGTGCTCCTTGATGTGGGCTTATGTGTCTGGTCATGCTATGTGCTTATGTAGTGGGTCACATGGCCCTGTCTAATATATATTTGTTATGCTACCAGAATTAAAGGTTTTATTAGTTTGTATAATCTTTTGCTTTATGATTGTTTCCCCAAGTGTCTCATGAATTACTGTCAGTAGCATTACAGATTGGAAATAGCTTTCATATCTTTTAAGATCTGAGATGACAAATTTAATCACCTAACTTCGTGTATTAAGGCAGGTTATAGCATCTCACGTGGTAATTCTTAAATTGCATAATTTCTTTTTAATTTATAGGCTATTATTTAGGATAACACCTCACCTCTGTTTTAATTCATTACTACTTTGTCCCACTAAATCCTAGTATTTTATCACCAGAGTTTGCCTGCTTACAGCTTGGAGCAGCAGGCAAAGTATGCGCTAAAGGTGAGCCAGTGGATATATTCTTCATGATCCAGTATTTATTGCTCTCGGTTCAGTGACTTCCAGGATGTTAGGATCAAGTTATTACAATTGCGCAGGATTAGGTGTATGTTATCTTTCAGGGTTTCGCTCATATTATATCTTGCTGGTTTGCATTATAAGAATCTTTAAATATCATAAACTACTTAGTGTTGGTCAACTTGAAACTGATTGTATTCCCCCTTGCCAGTCACTTACTTTAAGTGGTTTTGCTCAATACAGTTAATAACATTCATGTTTCTCTACCCAACAGTTGAAATTTATGTGTCATTTAAGCTTTAGGTCAGCATCTCATCTTACCCAAAAATGTTTCGTGTACATTTATTTTGCTGTTACAAACAACCAGAGATTTGGGAGGTGAATCCTTACAATTTTCATGGGTTTGAGATTATCTGATGGACTACAGAGAAATTTTGGAAGGCTTTGGATGGGAAAGGTATTCGAACTGGCTTTTGTATATTACATTTTTTGGAGTTATTACTTGAATAGCTCGTCTTTATGAAGAAGTAGACTATCAAATAAGCTTTGACAGTCATCTTTCAACTATTTGAAAGCCAAGACTGTCTAATTCAGACTCCAGAATTGGGGCATGGGTTGTTAAACATACAGAGAACATCGCAAGTTTGATTTACAGTTTTCAGAGTTAAATAACTGAAAATACAGTTTGTTCTTACTTGATTAAGTAAGAACAAACAAGATCAACTTCAATTTCTGATGTTTGGAAGTGAGAGAATTATTTCTCCTTATTTAATGTTTGTCATTCGTGTAAGAAAACATGTTTCTATTCAGGAAGATTTGGTATTTTTTCCTCAAAAATTAATAAAGAAAATCCCAAATATATTGTACCATGTAAATAAAGACTCTTTGTCCATTAATCTTTGGTTTTCTTTCCACTGAAATAGGATTCATATAACACAGCTTATTCTGAAGATACTTTTTTCTGTACCACAGAAATTTCCTGCCTTACAGTGCATGCTGAGTTAACATATGATTGAACATATGTAGTATTTGTGGTGTTTGGACTTAAAGTAAGTTGTGTAACACTGAAGAACATGGTGTATAGAATAATGAAATCTCATGTCTTTGTTGCAGAGATGTTTTGGGGTGGTTTTTTAAGTATTGAAGCAAATTGCAAGGAAGTGATTTATGAAATGGTTGAAAATATGTGAAATGTCTTCATATAAGTATGTAATTTAGGATTTTAATTGAAATTCCACTACTTGTGGTAGGTAGCAATAACCATGTTTCATGCTAGAACATGCTACTTTTGGTGGACAATCTAGAAGGAAAAAATTGTTAAAAACTTGAAAGAATATGCCTAGAGTTATCAAAGGCAGAGAAATAGTATTTTGGGGGTATTTGGCCAACTTCTCAAACTTGAAAGATAAGATTAAATTTGTGTCCAAAAAATAAATGCTTTCACTGACAGTTGAACCTTTAGGGTGTTAGGGAGGGGCTGGCCTCATCGACCACAGCTACATCACACTAAATGTTTCACTCTCTGAAAGCTTTTGACTAACCTTTGGCAATATCAGTCATGAATCTATTACGGGGGAGCAAAGCACATACCTGAATGAAGTTCATTTTTCTTTTATGATGATATCTACATATCTGTCAGAATCTTCAAGTCTTGCTGGGATTGTCTAAACTTTGATCTTCTGCTCTGGGTTAATTGCTATGCAAGGATAAATGGTTCAAAGGATAAGCACACTCAGCATGTTGTGACCTTCATCAGCCATATTAAAGGAATGTGAGGAACAGGAGTAAATAAGAGTTTTAAAACCATCTATTGATGCTTTTAGCGGTATGTGAAAGTCTCTTTGTAAAGAAATACATGGAAATAATTTTCCATGGCATCAGTGTATTTCATGCAAGACTGATCCTGTAATCCAGAGGAAGAAATTATATCTCAGTGCAGTTTTTAAACCTCTTGCAGTAGTCTATGAAACACCCTGAATTCTGATCAGCTACTCTTTGTCTTTCCTCCCTTCCTAATTATCTACTTAAGGGACACAAAGAAAACTGGCTGTGACATAGAGCAGGAAGAATACAGTGTGGCATTTATAAAGCTCCTCTGGATGGAAGCCTAATGTGAATAATGTGCTCATTGCCTGAATTTTGTGTTGCAGCTGAGTAGGAGTGTGTATGCATATATAAAGATGCTTATGTATGTATCAGGGAGTTAAAGAAAGATCACAGTGATGGGCTGCTTAAGCAATTGATAAATTGGGACACTTTCAAACTTGAGAACAACACCTTGCTGGAATAACATGCACTAACAATACACGTTAGCAACGATTAGTTTCCTTAATGATTATCACTACAAACACGACACTTGGTTCAACATTTATATCTTAAATTATCTGTGAGTATAGAGTACCAAATTGTGTGTAGCTAACGCTATAAGCAAAGGTAATCAGACCTGAGAGTGCTTTGATAGGGAAGCCAAAATCAAAATGGTCTCATTTCTTCTCCATCTTTCTTTCCTCTCTTACCTTTGGTGCTTCTTACCCACTCCCCAAAGAAAGGGGGTGATTGCCTATGCTCTTGATGTTATTCAGCTTACTTTTGGGACCAGGTCTTGCTGTAATTTTGTCAGGTATTTTTCTTGCTTATTGTGCAGTGTTATTCTGATTCCATCAGCCATCTCTCCTGCTTTGTCAGCAGGATTATTTTCCTTTCACCAGATGTCTTTCCTGCCTGCTCTATATCTTCAGTTCTCATCTTACAGACTTTCACTAATTCTCCATGTTTTCCTGTGTTTTACTCCTGCAGCTAAACCACAAACCTCCATTTACCTATTGGTAGTTACATATTATGTATATATTTATGCTCAGTTCTGTGAAAACAATGCTTGTTACTGGTTATTCTGTTGGTAGTGTTACAATTCTATAGAATCCTTGTGCACCACCTGAGCTTCTGCTTTAAGATATGGTCCCATCTTTTTAATAAAGTTGTAGTTGATGTATTTCTCATCTTGGAGGCTCCGTATTGTTGAAGAAACATTCTTACTCTGGGTATAAGTTCTGCATTGTTTGACTGCCAATGGTGCAGGAAAATCTTGTTTGTTTGATAGCAGTTTCTTTTGAGATAAAATTAGTCTGGTAAGTAGGCTTTGGTCTTTAAGTTCGTTTTTTGTCCTTTCCCGAACTATTTTAAGCTATATGTGTTCCTCAGGATTCCAGTCTTATTAAACTACATCTTATATTTTAAACCAATGCAATTTTTGTGACTTCTTGCTTTTTCCTTTGTAGTGGAATTTCTGTGGAGCCATACAACAGAGAGCATGTGTGTAGGATATATGTCTGCACAGGATGGCAAAGCTAAGGTAAGCCATGAGGAATAGGTTGTGATACAGTACAATGAGTGCAGAAGCTAGGAAGAATATAAAATAATGAAATATGTAAGAAATTTCTATCTTTAAGAGAGCGGAAGAAGTAATGGTGGCATAAGCAGTTAAATGTATCTATTGATTGGGCATTTCTAATTCCTTTTTTTGAATTCAGCAGTTAACAAACCTGTGCTAACACACGTGTTATGTCAAGAAAAGGTACCACAAACACAAGTCCATTTCCTCTGCTAGTATTTGTATTAGACTAAGATTATCCAGCTTGATTCAGTGATACTGGCTATTTAGGGTGCTAGGATATTTTCTGTGGGTGTGTCTTCCTTCAGATAAAGCAATTGCACCATCAAGTTAAAATGGAGAGAATATAAAACAGACTTCAAGCTGGTTCCTAGAATAGCCTCTGTGATATATATTGTGGATGTTAACATCCATGTTTACAGTTTCTTGGAGCCTAATAATTTTTTTTTTTTTTAAATGAGAGATATAATACATCAAAATTGAACTTGGCAATGGAAACCTGGAGAAATCCTTCATGTGAAGATGAAGGTGTAGGGGTTAACCAAGAGGATGAGCCACCTGCTCTTAGGCACATAGCATTGAAGGGAGAAAAAGGCAGGCATTGCAGTGTAGCAACCAATGCATTTAGGAGAGGTGTTTGGACAATGAGGGTGAACATGGGAGAAGCTGCAAGCAGAAACATGATCATCATTTCTGTAGCCCTTCATACATGTACAGCTATAAATATTCATGACTGAGGGTGGACAATCAGAAATAGTTAAAGGAAGTGACAAAAGTGGGGCAATAAGGAGGTGGCTCCCCAGTACGGTTAAAGTAATGGAGGAAGTGGAGGTGTTCACTGAAACACTTGCATGCATTAAAGGAGAAGATGACAGCCAGCAAGTTTATACCAGCAGATAAGCCCAAGACATACACCCAGCATTTTGATGGAAGGATGAATATTAAAGCCTGGAAAAGGAAAGGATTTTAGGGCCTGGATGTGTTGACTTTCTTCAGAAATGCTTGCTTGTGTGTGTGCTGGAGGAGAAAGTTTAACTCATCAGCAAGAGAGGGAGAGAGGACTACAAAATTCAAATCTTTTTTTTTTTTCCTTTTTTCTGTATCCCATTTGAGATGAGCATGAAGGAGGATATGAGCAAGATACTGAAAAAACATACAAAAGAAGGAAATTGACATCAGATCTTTCAAACAGCAAGGATGGTGTAACATGCTGGTTAAAGCATTGGGAATGGATGAGTTCATCCTCTAGGAGTAAAATGTGTAGAGAAAAAAAAGACAAGAATGCTCCAGAAGGAAGAGGAAGATAAAAAGCAGCTGGTGAAGGAAGTGCTGGTAGAGGTGTTAGTGAAGTACTCACTTTCATGGCTTACACAGAGTTCTTTCCAGTTAATTATCCATGGAATAGAATGTGGTTTCACTTCTTTTCCTAACATTTATTTCAGGTTTATTAGAAAAGAATCCAAACTCAAGTTAAAAGTACAGACTGGATTGAGTGGAACCAAAGCAAGCTCCGCTGCAGATGTTCTAGTATTCACTAGTTAGCTTTAAAATCATTATCTTATGTTCACAGTGAAAGGAGGATTCCTAGAATGCGCAATGTTAAATGATTCCAGCGTGCACACCTGCCTCTGACTTACACTGACAGTTCAGAATGTCATTGTTTCCTCCTGTATTATCTGTCTAATTAATAACTAAATGCTAAAAATGAAATCTATCTGGTAATGAGCACTAGCATGACAGTGCCCAGAGATGTTTTCCTACTCACAGTTGCAACATTTGACATCTGGTGTGCATTGTTTTTGTACTGCTGGTGAATTCTCCAGCTGGTAATCTTGATTGCGCTGACAGACACAGCTGCTCTTCTTGGTTCACTTTTAAATTATGTTTTTGACCTTCATTGAAGAGTTAATCCCCCTCCCTTTCTTCCTCCTTTGAGTCTGTGGCCACAAATGCTTTCCAGAGAAAAACCACAAGCGCTTTTGCTGCTGACTTCTATTGATCAAAAAAAGTCTTCAGTCATAAAAGCTGGAATTCTATTCTGCTACAACTAGGACTAAGTTATAGATGGAAAACTGGGCTTGAAATAGAACACAATGTATTGCAAGTAAAAAAAAAAAGAAGAAAATCCTTTTTCCTTAATAGAGTAACTGTTTTGGTACAGTTAATTTTGAGTGCTTGCCTTGAAAGAATAATGGTATAAGAATCCATGAAAGTATAAAATATAACTTGTTTATGAGTTCATAGCAAAATGATCAGGCAGTGGCTTGTAAGGAAACATCTTGCCTTCCTGTTTTTCTAGGGTGGTAAAGAGCTTCGGTTTTTCTTTCTTTCATCAGTCAAGGACTCAAGTTTTATTCTTAAACCAAGGGGTTGTCACAGTGGGTGATTTTGGGCTGCTTCAATTTAATGACCGTGAAAACAGATTTTTATAGCAAGACTTTTAGAAAGTGAGAAGTTGTGTCTACTGTTACAAATTGGACTAATATTAGAAGCATAATTATATAAAGTGGTACAAACTAAGGAAAAAAAGGATTTAATCTTAATGTGGTTCTTTGTGTGTTGGAGGTTAATGCATTTCATATTAGGACCTAGCAAATGGCGATTCTGAACCCCAGATGAAAGCTGCGGAGATATAGGAGGCCTTTCTTAAGACACTTACAAGCTGGATACCAGCTCACCTGCTGACACTGGTGTGCTCAAGAGGTGGAAACATACTCAAATATCAGCAACTCCTTAAAAAGAACAGTGGGACAGGAAAGTGGAATGGGAGACTTGAAGTGGTTTGTACATCCTGACCTGCCGGTGCTTCTGGCTTTTAGCACTGTGAGCTCTCCAAGTACTGATTTGGAAGTACCCTTGCAGCAGGGGTTTATTTCCTCCCAGTTTGGGAAAGACTGGGTTCTGCAGCTGGCCGCTCACCTCCAAACTAGACTGTCTGAATGCTAACTCACCAGCATAAAATGGCTGAGCCTGCAAGAGCTGTGGAACAGTTCTGCACTGTGACTAATAGTCATTTGATTTAAAGCATACTTTCTGGAAAGGTGTCCAGTCTTTTTTTGGAAACCCAGATGCCTGGAAAAGTCACCGTTTCCTGTTGAATGTTGGTGTAAAATGTTTGGTTGAACATTACTTTAAAAATACCGTGGAGGCTTGCCAGATGAACTAAGTTCACACCTTAATGCTGACAAGTCATCTCTGGTGGTGTGTCTTATTACTTGCCTTGAGCTCACTCTCAACGCTGGAAGTATTTCAGCTCCTCCACCAGTGATAGCACTGGCAATGTCATCTTTACTACCTGCATAGTGGATATCTCATTGACTTCCTCTGATTCGTATGCCCTTGAACCCTTACATCACTGCTGTAAGCAACTAATCAAAGTATGTCCTTGCTGGTTCAACTATAATCTTCATCCCTCTTGACACAAGCAAGAGGGATGCCAAGTTTCATAATCACTTGGTGCCAGTGTCTTTAACATACTGGATGTGGAAGGAAACAAACCTTTTGTCTGAACAGCTTTGATGGTTTTATATACTTCTTAGAACTAACCTGCGCTGCCTATTGCTACGACTTATCCAGGCTGGAGACTGGAGCCTCAGCTATGTTGAGCTTAAGGGACAGATGCACTTTGTTTTAGAAGTTGCCTGTCCCAGTCTTCCTTCCTGAAGCAATACCATGACAGATTGTTTCAACATTAGGCCTGCTTTTTGGGAGATCAGTGGGCTTCCCAAGATCTCCTAAAGCAAGTTCATGTATTGCCATCTATGTGATAGTACAGTTGTCACATAAGGTGATATTCAACTCTTTCTAGCTGTTAGTGAACCTGTTAAACTGTTCTAGGCTGCTGTGAAAGTTTCTGGCTGTGGCCATGAGAATAGATAGAAAATTCTAGCCTGTGGACTTCCTCTGCACTTAGCCAGCTCCTTTTGTAGCAGTAACTGCTGCATCAGCAAAAGTCAAGACTTCTAGATTGAAGGACTGGGAGTTTAAATAACTTCATGAACCGAGGGGGTATGTTTTTTCTTTTTGTGTTATTTTGATGTGAATTCAAGATCTTTGATGAGCAGTTCACTCTTTTAGATTTCCTGTCCAAACTTTCTTCTGTTTCTGAGACATCAGTCTTCAGGGTCACCTTCCAGATGGTTTTTTTTATGGATCCATGATAGGTCCAGCAGCTGCTCATAGCATTGGCTAAGAAAGTCATCCTGTAATCAGAGCTCTGACCTCTTTAAAGATACTCTGGCAGCTTTCAGATAACCAGTTCCTATTTTCCTGAACTGATTAGCTTACATTCTGAGAGCTTAAGCATTTCTGTTGTCACTGCTGGGAAAACAGCTGTATTCCAGTGACTACAGTGTTGCTTCTTGGAGCTCTGTCCATACTACCATGAGTGATGTTCAGTATTTGAGGCCTTAAAGGTTGGTATAGCATTTGGTAGAATAGTTTGTCAGTTTGCATGAAGGGCTTTGAGACCTTCTGCCATGTAATTTGGGAGGGGGAGAAATAACTCATTGAATTCACCCATGCTGTGATTTTAGATATTATTGGAGAATGGGAAGGAAGGGAGGTTAGTGGGTAGGTTACAAATTAACTGACTCCTCTTAGTTACATAGTGTTCATATCTTCTTGTTCCTTGTCTGCTTGCTCAGTGGAGGCCACTGCAAAGGAAAAGTTCTTCAGTCTCAAATGGCAGTGCAGTGTATGCCTGCAACGTGAATACACATACCAGCTGCATCTCTTGAAGGTTCTGGTTATGGGTAGGCAGCCTTTCTTTGATTTAATGTTGTGTATCTGTGCATAATCAAGCAGGAGCCCTTTTATCTCAGGCAAGGATCTGCAGAGTATTTGTTCAGTCAAGACCCACTGTATTCTGTGTGCAGAAAGTGTAAGTAGGCAGGATGTGCCAAAGAACTTCTTTTTCCTGGATCTCCCACATGTCTTGCATTATCTTAGTGATAAAGAGT